GGCCGGCGCCTGCTGAGAAGAGCAGCCTGCTTCTGAAAAGCCTTCCCCCCTCCCCCTGCCCCCTTGTGCGCGCCGCCAACCTCCGACCCCAGCTGCCCGGACCCCAGCTGGGGGGCCGCTGCGCGGGCGCGGGCCGCCGACGGGGGGAGGGCGGGCGAGGCGGGACGTATCGAGGGAATCGACTGCACGTAGAAGTAACCCCTCGCCGGAGTAACCGTACGTGGGAGCTCATTGGGGTCTCTCGGGCTGGTGGTAATGGGGGGTGGCCTTACGGGGAAGGAGGGGTGGAGAGGGGTGAGAGGGATGTGGGGATGTCCGGAAAAGTGGAGGGGTGAGAGGGATGTGGGACGGCGGGAAGATCAGGGAGGTCCGGGGGAGGGGGGTGGAGAGGGAAGGCGGGGGCGTGGGGAGAAACGTATATGTAAAAGCGGGGTGGACCGGGAATGGAGAAAGGAGGAGGAGGAGGAGGAGGAGGAGGAGGAGGAGGAGGAGAAGGAGGAGACGGAGGAGACGGAGGAGAGGAGGAGGAGGAGGAGAGGAGGAGGAGGAGGAGGAGGAGGAGGAGGAGGAGGAACAGGAAAAGGCGGAGGAGGAGGAAGAGGAGAAGAAGGAGGAGAGTCATGGAGAGAAGGGGGGTGGGGATGGTGAGGAGGAGGAGGACGATGGGGTAGTGGAGTGGGACGTGGGGGAGGGGAGAGGGGAAGAGAAGAGAGGAGAGGAGAGAGGAGAGAGGAGAGAAAAGAGAGGAAACAGGCAAGCCAGGCGCGCTCGCGCCATCCCTGACATCCTATTATTTCCTCCCGTCCCTGCCCAATGCGCTGACTTTTCATATATCCGCGGACTCGTGTCATAGCCGACCTGGAACTCCACAAAAGGCCTCATCGTGCTATGCGCAGTCGGAAAAGGGAAATCCTAGACGCTTCGAGTAACCCCACCAGCCCATCCAGAAACGATGCCCAGAGGAATTGCCTCGATCAGGGAAGTGGGCAGCGCACAGAGGAAGGGTCCCCCAGTGGAGGCCTCTTTGAGCGTCTTGGGGGCCTCTTGGCGGTCCCGGACGCCTCTTAGAGCGTCTTGGGTGCCTCGGAGAGCTTTTTGGGGCCTCTTGGGGGTCTCTGGGGAGCCTCTTGGAAGCCTCTTCGGCGCCTGTTGGGGCCTCTTGGGGCCCTCTTGGGACGCCTCTTGGGGCCCTCTTGGGACGCTCCCAAGGGGAGCGCCCTTGGAGCCCTGTTAGACCAGCTTTCAGCCATCTTGAGGCCTCAGATGGCCATCGGAAGCGAAAAGGCGAGAAAGCCAAAACCATAGATTATCGTAAGGTTTTGGAAATATTCTGACCTCTTCGGGGCCTCCTGGGGAGCTCTTTGGCCACTTGGAGCCGTCTTGGAGCGGTCTTGGGGCCTCTTTGAGCATCGTGGGAGCCATCTTGAGGCATCTTGGGATATCTTGAGCCATCTTGGAGGAGGTCATCTTGGGCTCTCCCAGGCGCTCTTGGAGTAATCTTAAGCAGTGAAAATCAATGATTTTAGCATTGTCGCCGATGCCTCTTGAAGGGTCTTGGGTGCCTCTGGGGGGCCTCGTGAGGCCTCTTTTGGGGTCTCTTGGGAGCTTGGGGGCATCCTGGGGGCCTCTTGGGGGCCTCTTGGGGCCTCCTGGCCACCTCTTGGGGCCCTTTTGGGGCACCCTTGGGAGCCTTGGGAGCGCTGGTGGGGCCATCTCGGAGGAGATCGATCAAAGAAGGGGGTTCCCCAATCAGCGCTGCCCCCCCCCAAGAGGCCCAAATGGGGCCCAAACCCTAGTAAAACCAATGATGTTGGCTTCCTCGCCGAGGCCGTTTTGGACGCCCTGACCGCTCGCGGAACCTCCCGTCCAGGTCCAGGGGAGGGTGTAGGGTGAGGGGTAAACCCCTTCCCGAAGAGGAAGAAGGGGGTGGAAGAGGAAACACCCTAAACTACCTACGCCCGAGTAAAGGGCTGGTGGGTTTTGTGGGACCTGTGCGACCTGGGGGGCTTCTGCGGCCTGTGGATCCTGTCAGACCCTCGAGACCTGTGAGACCAGTGGCACCAGCCGGACCTGCGGGACCTGTGGGGCCTGGGGCACTTCTATGGGACCTGTGAGACATGCGACACCTCTTGGGACCGGCGCGGGACCTGCGGGACCTGTCAGACCTATTTGACTTGTTGGGCATGCGAGACCTGCGAAACATGGGGAATTTTTGAGACCTGTGGAAACTGTCAGACCAGTGGGACCTGTGGGGCGGCCTGCGACACTTGTGGGTCCTGTGGGACCTGTGGGACCTGTGGTGCCTGCGAGCCCTGCGAGACCTGTGGGATCCAGAAGAGTGGCCCACGCTGGGGCGGGAACGACGTTCTGAATAACGGGAGCACAGCGCCGATCCGAAAATGAGGCCCACGCTGCAGCGAGAGCACCATGTTTGGAAATCTGTAAGCAGTCGGATGTATGACAAAAGCCTGTGAAAAGCCAGTTCGCGCAAATCTGGTGCGCAAGAAATCAGGACGCAGAGGGACACAAGAGGAAAGCTCCCTCGCGCAAAACGTGTGCGTCAAGGAGAAGAAGGGGGGTAGAGGAGAGGGGATGGGAGGAGAAGAGGAGGGGAGGAGGAGGAGGTTCCGGAGGAATCGAACGGAGTGCAGGGGACGGTGGGCGCGGCGAGGGTTGGCCCGGCACGGGGCGGTGGATCTGTGCCCTCGTGGCCGCGGCAAGGGCCCCGCGGTCTCCCGAGCGGCCCCCCCGTGGGCCCCCTACGCGAGCAGCGCCCGCGGCCCGCACCCCCGGCCGGCGGGCACGACCGACCTCGTAGGCGCGCGGCGCGCGATGGCACAGCAAACGGAGCCGGTGTCGCCGTCGCCGTCGCCGCCGATGGCCTCGCCGCCGTCGCCGTCGGCGCGCCCGCCCCGATGCGCCGTCGCTGCCGTGGGCGGCCGCCGCGTTCGCGGCGGGAGTTTTTAGATCCCCGCGTCCTCGTCCGCGTCCTCGTCGCGCTTCCGTCGTCGCGGCCGTCGCCTCCACTGCTCGCAGGAGGGAAAGGTGTACCGATGCCGTTGCCATTTGCCCTCGTCGTTTGGCCCTTTCTGGGCCTCCCAGGAGGCCCTCGTCGCCACGGCTGCATTCTCCCCGGAATTCAGGTCAGAACGCGTCCTGGGAGAGGTCCGGGGAACAGCGGCATCAGTACCTTTACGCCCCCCCCCAGTCTCCGCGTCGGCAGCTCCCCATTGTCCTCGTACTCGTCGTGCTTTCTGGTCGTCTTCTCCTTGGGCGGCCGGGTCCGGCCGCATTGGTGCGCCATTGCCGGCGCGTCCTGATGGTGGAGGAGGAGGAGGAGGAGGAGGAGGAGGAGGAGGAGGAGGAGGAGGAGGAGGAGGAGGAGGAGGAGGGGCCGCGTTCCAGGGGCACGCGAGCCGTCGCTGCTGGGCTCCTCCTCCCGCTGCTTGTCCCTCCCGCCTCCTCCTCTTTCCTGCCTCGTTCTACCCCACCCTGCTGCTCCTCCCCCTCACCTTGCTTCCTCCTCCCTCCTCATTATTGCTCCTGAAGGCTCCCATTCTTGCTCCTCCTCCTCATCATTCTTGCCCTCGTCCCTTCTTCCTCATTCCTTGCTCTGTCCTCCTTCCTCCATCCCTCCTTCCCTCCTTCCTCCTCCTCTCCTTCCCTTCCTCCCTCTTTCCCGCCTTCTCTCCTTCCACCTCCTTTCTCTTTCTCCTTATCCTCCCTCCTTCGCTCCTTCCTCCTCCTCTTTCCTGCTTCAGTTTCCTCAACCATGTTCCTCCTCCCCCTCCTCCCTCCCTCCTCCTCCTTGCTCCTGTGGGCTCCTCCTCCTCCCCTTGTCCTCCTCCTCCTCCCTTCTCCTCCTCCCTTCTCCTCCTCCCTTCTCCTCCTGCTTGCCTCTGGGGGCTTCCTACCTCCTTCTTCCTCCTCCTCCTCTTTACTCATATGAGCTCCTTCTTCCGTGCGGTGTCCTTCTACTGCTTATCCATACCTTCCTCCTTTTTCATCGGTCAGCCTCAGCGCCACATCAGCATCAAGGAAAGGACTGTGACAGAGGGAAAGGAATTAAGTCAGAGGAGCGGGAGGTAATGATATATTCAGGTGTTCCAGCATTTTCAGTTGTGGTTGCTGTCCCGCCTGGCCGGAAGAGGTTGTCCCACCTGGCCAGAGAAGAAAGGCTGCGTTATTCATGTCGAGGGCCGCTGTAAAGCCCAGAAGTTCTGGAACGTAGCTATCCTGTGCCAATCGCACCATGACATGATTCCCGTCCAACTTAGTTGATTCATGGGAGTTTGAGAGAGGTATGGTGGGAGTGAGAGCGAGGACGTGGAGTATTATACTCAGGAAAAGGATGTCGAGTGGGCGGAAGAGGCTGAGGAGGAGGGCGGCACGGATCCGAGACCCCAAGTCCCTTAGACTTTAGTGTTCTAAGACAGCGACGACCCCAGGACCAGAGAGCCCTCATACCCTGGAGACCAAGACCCTCAGTCAAGGGAGGAAGAAACACCCAGACCGAACAAATTGGCGTTTCTAAACGGCCTTGGCCGTTCACTACACAGCCCTGCCCTTTTTGATGCCTTCTTTGGGCGCGTTTATTAGACGGCTTCGCGTGTCGGGGTGGTGACTATCGGGGTGGATCTTCTGCCTTCTACTCAGACCCAAAGACCCAAGGACCCTCGACCAGTACGACGCTAAAGTATACATAAACCAAGACTCCGAGTCCCTGAGTCGTGGAAGGCGAGACCAACAGATCCCTGAGTCCCTGAGACCTCGAACGTCATGGGCCCTAAGCCTCGAGGCTCGACGCCCAGCCGCGAACCCTGAGCCACGGGAAGCGAATGCTAGATATGGGATCTGCCCAACATACTTCAGCGTGAACGGGGGCAGCTCCATGATTGACTTTGCTCTTCCCGACGCACATGGCTGATGCGGTCGAGCATTGCCACACCTGACGAGGGCTGGGAACGCAACTGCAAGCGTTCAGGGGCCCGCCCCCGCAGGATCACGTTCCCATCATGTTGCAGATGGACATCCCGAGATTCTCGGAGCAGATCCAGCGGGTTCCGCGCGCAGAGTGGGGCAGTGATAATATTAGGGATGCACTGCGTGGGGAGGGCGACTTGAAGCGGGACTTGCTGCTAGCGGTCGAAGAACGACTGCAGGCGGAGGACCCACGGTGGACAGATGTCTTCTTCGATTACATGAATCGGGTGCTGGTTGAGGCGGGGCAGCAGCTCTTCCGACCTGGCAGGAAACTTCAGAATCAGGGCGATGCGGCTTTTCGACGCGAATTACTTTGAAGGCGAGCCGACCTACGGGCAGCAGTGGGTTCTCTTTCCGCACAAAATGGCACCGCCCTGGGAGAAGCAAGTACGGCGTCACCCTCTCTTGAGCAGGTCGAGTCCGAACTAGAGGAGGTCACCCACCGTCTCCACCAGCAGCGGCGTCAGGAACGGGCAGCGAATCGGATATACATGGAGGAGGAGATCGAGACGGCCTGGTGGTTTAGGAAGCTGGCATTGGCGATGAGTCCCCCACGCGAGGTGGGACGGTGCAGCTTTGGCCCAAAGAAGAGGGGCGGCAGGGCCATCAGGGTGGCCCAACCCTCTCGGGCAGAATGGCTGGAGGCGTGGCAGGCAGCAGGAAAAAGTGGCGGCATGTCGGCGACGGAAGTGGACCCGCCTGAGCTCATCCAGTCGACGGAGGTGTTGCCCGACCTGACGGTGGAGATGGAGGAGTGCGCTCGGGCGGACATCAAGAGGGTCTCGTGGGCGGTGCAGAAGGCGAGTCGACGCCGAGCGGTTCCTGAGCGATCACCGCCAGTCGAACTTTGGCAGTTTTGCTTTCAGCATGAGAAGCACTACGTGCGAGGGTGATGGGGAGTGGGAGCTGACGCAGGAACGCTTGGCATGGCGTCCTTCGCGGAGGCGATGTTGGAGGGCTTTCGGATGATCAGAAGAGCGACGCGTACCCCCAGCCACTGGCACCACGTCTCAGCAGTTGGACTACGCAAGATTTGTGTCCCAGGTGTGAAAGGTCAGCGGGTAATTCGCGCCCTCGACCCCATGGGCAAGTGCTTCCACGCGGAGATCTTGAAGGTGCCAGCGGACATTGCTGACTATGGATGTATCAGACACCGCCGACGTGAAAGAGGCGATCATGACAGCTCAGGTGGTGGCTTGGCGTCTTCGTCATTCGTACCACGCCTTCTCGGCGAGTCTCAAGGACATGAGCAACGCCTTCGCGCCGGGCCACCACTCGCAGCTAGACGAGACAGTGAATGTGCGCGTGGCCAATGATTTAGATGTTCCGCTGGCTATGCAACGATATATGGAATCAAGGATTTGTCTGCCTGCCTCGGAAGGCCCCCCCCCCCTTGTGGCTTCATCCGGGAGAGGGCGGCGCCGTGGGGGGCCCCTTCGTGGTCTCGCTGTTCAGGGGTGCCTTCAGCAGGCTCATCTTTTCTAGGAAGTATCGGGAAGCTCATCGCACGTCTCGGGCGCCCACGGCCGAGTGGAAGGAAATGACAGCAAACCTCAGCCTCCTCAAGTGTGCTGACGACATCTGGAATTGTACGGTTGCGTCTCGGTTCCAGAGGATTTCGGAGTTCATGAGATGGACGCGCAGTTCAGAGGAGATTCTGGAGGAGGAGCTGGAGGAGGTGGGGCTTGGAGCTAATCGAAGCAAACTAGTCACGCTGTTCCACGTCTCGGGAGCAGGTAGCCCAAAGGTCAAACGCCGGCTTCGCCACCGCGCCGCCCGGAAAAACTCTTTTTCCCGGCAAACTCGACTTTTTCCCGGCAAACTGGACTGTTTCCCGGCGATCCGTTTCAGAAACGTTTAAAGCTTTTGAAAAGCTTTACAGAGTTCCCTCCGACGACGGACCCTGGAACCTCCGACGCGGCCGCCTTGGGGCCTCCTTAGGCCCCCTTGGGGCCTCCTGAGGCCATCTTGGGGCCCCCTTGGGGCCTCCTGAGGCCATCTTGGGGCCTCCTGAGGCCATCTTGGCGCCTCCTGAGGCCATCTTGGGGCCTCCTGAGGCCATCTTGGCGCCTCCTGAGGCCATCTTGGGGCCTCCTGAGGCCATCTTGGGGCCTCCTGAGGAGCCGCTTGGGGCCCCTGAGGCCTTCTTGGGGCCTCCTGAGGAGCCGCTTGGGGCCCCCTGAGGCTGTCTTGCGGTCTCCTGAAGAGCCGCCTGGGGCCCCCTGAGGCTGTCTTGCGGTCTCCTGAGGAGCCGCTTGGGGCCTCCTGGGGCTGTCTTGCGGTCTCCTGAGGAGCCGCTTGGGGCCTCCTGAGGCTGTCTTGCGGTCTCCTGAGGAGCCGCTTGGGGCCTCCTGAGGAGCCGCTTGGGGCCTCCTGCGGCTGTCTTGCGGTCTCCTGAGGAGCCTCTTGGGGCCTCCTGGGGAGCCTCTTGGGGCCTCCTGAGGAGCCGCTTGGGGCCTCCTGAAGCTGCCTTGCGGTCTCCTGAGCGCCGCTTGAGCGGTCTTGCTGTCTCGAACGGCGTCGTTGCGGTCGTCACCAGAACGAGGAGGATGAGGAGGAGGAGGAGGACCGTGGGAGCACGAATCGGATACATGATAAATGATGACGATGATGATGATGATGATGATGATGATGATGATGATGTTGATGATGATGACGATGATGGTGATGCGGATGATGATGATGATGATGATGATGATGATGATGATGATGACGACCACTGTGATGATGATGATGATGATGATGATGATGATGCTATCCGACGGTGATGATGATGATGATGATGACGATTACGATGACGATGATGATGCTGGTCATGATGATATTGGTGATCGTGATAATGATGATGACGACGACGACAACGACGATGATGCTGCTGATGATGATGACGACTATGATGATGATGATGATGATGATGATGATGATGATGATGATGATGATGATGATGATGATGATGATGATGATGATGATGATGATGATGATATGATGCTGATGATGATGACGACGATGATGATGATGATGATGATGATGGCCGATGGGGATGAGGAAGGCCGCCCTTGCGGTTTTCTGGGGCTGCCTTCGGGCCCTCTTGGCCGTCTGGAGGGTCTCGTGGTGCCGTCTTGAGCCATCGAAGGGCTTTTGAGGCCGTCTTGGGTCCTTCCGGACGCCCTCTTGGGCCCGCTTGGGGCTCTCTTAGAGCCGTCTTGGGCCCGTTTGGTGCTCTCTTGGGCCCGTCCTGGGCCGTCCATGGGGCCTCTTGGGCCGTGCTCAGGACGTATTGGAGGCCGCTGGGTTGTTTCTGGGCTTATCTTCACGCCTCGTCGTCATCCGTTTCGGTCGTCAGCGGAAGGAGGAGGAGGAAGAGGAGGAGGAGGACAGTGGGAGCAGGAGTCGGATCCATGATCAGTGAGGGGGAGGACGAGGGAGGATTGGGAAGGTGGATGATGGAGGGTGTCGTTCGTCGTCGTCATTCGTCGTAGTCGGTCGTCAGGTCCTCGCACTCGTCTTCTTCGGTCGTCGGTCGTCGCCGCCGACGTGCTCTCTAGCGCGCGCGCGCCGCCCCCTGAGGAGACGAGGGGGGGGATGAGGAGGAGCAGGACAAGGAGGAGGATCAGGAGAATAAGGCAGATGATGACGATGATGCTGATGATGAGAAGGGTGAGGATAAGGAAGACGAGCAGTTGGATGAGTATGAGGATATGGGCGGACGAAGGGCCGCTGGGGATGAGGAAGACCATGATGATGATTACGATGATGATGGTGATGATGATGACGATGATGATGATGACGATGATGACGACGACGGTGATGATGATGATGATGATGATGATATGATGACGATGACGATGACGATGACGATGACGATGACGATGACGATGACGATGACGATGATGATGATGATGATGATGATGATGATGATGATGATGATGATGATGATGATGATGCGATGATGATGATGGTGATGATGATGATGATGATGATGATGATGATGATGGTGATGGTATGGTGATGGTGATGGTGATGGTGATGGTGATGATGATGATGATGATGAGTGATGATGATGATGATGATGATGTGTGATGATGACGACGACGACGACGACGACGACGACGACGACGACGACGACGACGACGACGACGACGACGACGACAACGACGACGACGACGATGGTGATGATGGCCGATAGGGATGAGGAAGGCCGCCCTTGCGGTTTTCTGTGGCTGCCTTCGGGCCTTCTTGGCCGTCTGGAGGGTCTCGTGGTGCCGTCTTGAGCCATCGAGGAGCCTTTGAGGCCGTCTTGGGTCCTTCCGGACGCCCTTTTGGGCCCGCTTGAGGCTCTCTTGGGGCCGCCTTGGGCCAGCTTGGGGCACTCTTGGGGCCGTCCTGGGTCGCCAATGAGGCCTTTTGGGCCGTGCTGAGGACGTCTTGGAGGCCACTAGTATTGATGTTATCAGTGGTACTACCAATGCTGTCCATGTATGTACACCTCAGACTGATATGATTGGATGTGCGACTGCTGCTCCCGATACTGCTTCCGATACTGTGCGACTACTGCTGCCGACTTGGATGCCTCTTGGGGCCCTCTTGGCACGTCTTGGGGCCTTCGTGGGCCCGAAAAAGTCACGCGGCCAGCTGCGACAAGGCCCAAGGCAGCTGCGACAAGGCCCAAGGGAACCGCGACAAGGCCCGGGAGATTTTGCAATTTGGGCTCTGGTGCCCTTAATGATTCCTCAGGAGCGAGGACTCAGGCTCAGGGGACGAGGCAGAGGACCTCAGGAAACGCCCACTCCGTGCCCAGAGGCACGGTGGCGGATAACCAGTAGTACGTCTACCTGGACGGTTTTTGACATCGCTTACGAATACTTCTGCTTTTACTACCACTAATCTTTCCACTACTACAACTACTATTCGTAATCTCACTATCCTTAATACAATCACTCCTAGTAGTACTAATCCACTAACCCTACTACTACTACTGCTACTACTACTACTACTACTACAACAACTACTACTACTACTACTATACTGCTATTACTATGACTACTACGACGACTACTACTACTACTACTACTACTACTACTACTACTACTACTACTACTGATACTGATACTGATACTACTACTACTACTACTACTACTACTACTACTACTACTACTACTACTACTACTACTACTACTACTACTACTACTACTATCACTACTACTACTACTATTACTATTACAAACACTGCGAGGAGTAGTGCTACGGCGAAGGCCGCACGACACAAGTCAACCACTGGACTCTTTCCCGGCTAGGATCTGCGCAGCGGGAGTTGGAGACCTTTAAGGTGATAGTGGGATTTTCGGAAATCCATGCTTCAAGCTTCCATACACAAAACGAAGCAAACTGGACTCTTTCCCGGCGGAGCGCCGGGGAAAAGTCCAGTTTGCCGGGAAAAAGCCCAGTTTGCCGGGAAAAAGTGGACAACCGCGCCGCCCCCACCCTCGGAGGAGAACTTTACGAATGTACTCGGTATCTGGGGCCTCACATCTGGTTGTCTGGGGTTACAGGACCTGAAGTTGCTCGTCGTAAGGAAGCGGCATCGGCTGGGTTCTACTCGATGGGAGGGTTCTGGGCTCGAAAGTGTCCCTGGGGGCGGACTGGGGCAATCCTGATCGGGCTCGTTCAGAATGCTTTATTGAGTTGTCTGGAGGCAATGATAGCCACTCCTCTACAGTGTAGGGATATGGACGCTCACCTGGCTCGTCTGTGCCGGGTGCTGCTGCAAGGTCGGGGCGCGTCTCGCGAGGGCGAGCACGCG